GGGAGAAGTCACAGTCTCTGAGTCTTTCATATTTGGGGGGTTCCTCCTCCTAGTCATTCTTTTGAGGGGTGGTTGAGGGAGTGTACAGAGTCCAAATTATTGACCACAATCCAAGCAAGACGCACCTGGTTTATAGGATCTTTAAGGTTGTCGGCCTCCTGTTCTCCCAGCCTGTCTTCTGGGGGAGGGCCTGCTGCACTGTTACTCCTACAACCCTGTTTTGGCAGAGTTTCCCTGCCCCCTGTGTGGGGCATGTGCTCAGTGAAAACTGTTTTTTAGAAGCTTTGTTCTCTGACTGCTTTCTCTGGTGGCTTTCTGCATCTCCCCCAAGAATCAGAGCAGAAGTGACCATTTACAACCCTCTGCCTCAGAGCAGAGAGATCGCAGTCTGTTCTTCAGTGAGCTGTCCAGGCCACACTATCTGTTTCTGCCTATGCTGCTAAAAACTGCAGTGTCCTGGGTTGTGCGCCCCTCAGCTTCCAGGTCAGGGCACATCTCTGCCCTTTGTGCTTTTAAAACCTCCAGCTGCCCCCCAGTTCACATGCACAACCCTGCTGCTCCAGTTTTCAGTCCAGGGGGCTGCCCTAAATTCCTTTCCCCACTGCTACCAGTCTGCGGTTTACGAGACTGTGCCTGGTACCCAGCGCTGGAGGCTTTTGTGTTCCTGTGTTATTTCACCTTCCCAGCTCAGGCGCTATGGCATCTCCCTCCCCCTTCCATTTATCTTCCCATATCTGCCTGCAGAATTACAGCTCCCCGCTTCATACCCCAAAACCAACTGCCTGAAATCTTCTGTTTGTAGAGATCCAGATATATCTTCTTACATCTCAGGCTGATTTCGTGGGTGTTCAGAGTGGTCTGGTAGATATCCAGCTCAGGACCGGTTGGAATAGGGTCCCCTACTCCTCCGCCATCTTTCCCCCCTAGTCTCTAGAGTATCCAGTTTAGACTGCATCTCATTCATAGCATTTTTAAGTTCTGCCTGATTAGGTCTCATTTCTGCTTTTAAAGATTCTATATTGTCACTTTTTTTTAAGCCTAGCTATTAACTTTATGATTGCTATCCTGAATTCTCTCTCTGACATCTTACATCCATATGTATGGATTAACTCTATAACAGAGAGCACTGCCTCTTGTTTTTTTTATTACTATGTTATGTTAATCATCATACAATACATCAATAGTTTTTGATATGGTGATCCACGATTCATTGTTTTCATATAACACCCAGTGCTCCATGTCCTCCTTAATACCCATCACCAGGCTAACCCACCCCCCCATCCCCCACCCCTCTAAAACCCTCAGTTTGTTTCTGAGTCCATAGTCTCTCGTGGTTCATCTCTCCCTCCGATTTCCCACCCTTCATTTTTCCCTTCCTTCTCCTAATGTCTCCATGCTATTCCTTATGTTCCACAAATAAGTGAAACCATATGAATATTGATTTTCTCTGCTTGACTTATTTCACTTAGCATAATCTCTTCCAGTCCCAACCATGTTGATGGAAAAGTTGGGTATTCATCCTTTCTGATGGCTGAGTAATATTCCATTGTAACATATATGGACCATATCTTCTTTATCCATTCATCTGTTGAAGGGCATCTCAGCTCTTTCCACAGTTTGGCTATTGCGGACATTGCTGCTATGAACATTGGGGTGCATATGGCCCTTCTTTTCACTACATCTGTGTCTTTGGGGTAAATACCCAGGAGTGCAATTGCTGGGTCATAGGGTAGCTCTATTTTTAAATTTTTGAGGAACCTCCACACTGTTTTCCAAAGTGGCTGTACCAACTTGCATTCCCACCAATGGTGTAAGAGGGGTCCCCTTTCTCCACAACCTCTCCAACATTTGTTGTTTCTTGCCCTGTCAATTTTTGCCATTCTAACTGGTGTAATGTGGTATCTCAGTGTGGTTTTGATTTGAATTTCCCTGATGGCTAATGACTTTTTTTTTTAGTTCCTCCTTCTAGTCATTCTGCCCAGAGAACAATGGGTGGGCAAATGAACAGAGCTCAAATTATCAACCATGACCCAAGTAAGATGCACCCTAGAAAAATCCTGAGTGTTCAGAAGCCACCACAGAAAATCAAAGCCAAAATGAAACACAAGAATAAAATTAAAAAAAAAAAAGAAGGGAGAAGGGAAAAGAGGCTGTAATCTCTCAGTGTGGACAAAGCAGTGTGATCCACTTGTAAATTGCAAGGAAAGTAAAGCTTATATTTATATAAAATAAAATTGAATAGAGTGAAAAAAGGACTAATATTATGAAGCATATATGTATAAAATGTAGATGTGAAAAAACAAAAGTTAAAAAGTGACTTGAAATATAAGTTGGTATAATAAGCATCTAGTTGAAATGGGAAAAAGGGAAAAAGAAAAAAAAAGAGAAAAAGCATAAGAAAAAGAAAAAAAAAGAAAAGGAGAATTTTATCTGAAAAATAAATAAATTGTGAGGCCACACCTGGAGCCCAATATACTATTTTCCCCTGGCATTGGAATTTTGCAGTCTTAAGGGATCCATAGGTTTGTCATTCCTCTGTTCTTCCAGCCTGACTTCTGGAAGAGGGGCCTGCTGCACTGTTTCTCAGGTATCCCTGCCTGGACGGTGTTGTCCCACCCCCTGTCAGGCTCATTGCAAACTGGTCCTCTGTTTGGCTTTTGCTCCCTGGAGGCGCCTCTTCGGAAGATTAAAGCAAAAATGGCAATGCCCAAACCTCTGGCCCAGAACAGAATGATCGAAATCTGTCCTCTTTAATAAACCCTCCAGGACAAACAGTCTCTAATTCTGTATGTGCCAAAAACTGCAGCCTCCCATGGTGCGTGCCCACGGCAACTCTCTCTAGGTAGCCCCAGGGGCCCCGGAGTGTCACAGCCCTTTGTAACTCTAAAACCCCAAGTGGCCACAGGCTCCTGCAGACACCTGAAGCTCCTGGATCGTATCCGGGTGCTGCCCCAATGTCCTCTGGGCCACTACCGCCCTGTGAGCTTTTGTCCAGTTGCAGGCACTGGTTCCAGAATTTTTCAGGCTGCCCAGGAAAAGAGTGATTATCCACCCGCACAGCATGCAGTTTATGGTGATCTGAGCTAAGAGCCCCCTCCTGGGTTCGTTGACCATAACCTACTTCCTGGCTCCACTGTTTAGGTACTTTAACAGTTCAGGCACCCCCTTTCACTCTGTGGCTCCTCATATCCTGAGACCACAGTGCCCTACCTAGAATTCTGCCTTTTCATTTTCAGAACCCCTTTCAGAGGGGGATGTCTCTCCCTCTAGAGGAGATTTCTAAAGGTTCTGATTTTGTGCCCCAGTGTTATGTAACTTTCCAGGAGCCAGCTTATGGAGGCTCCCTCCCCCTTCTGTTTATCCTCTGATATCTCCCCACAGATTCACGACTGCACACATCCTACATTGCAAAAGGGAGTTGCTTTTCTGCTTGAAGGGATCGAGATATATATTCTTACATCTCAGGCTGATTTTGTGGGTGTTCAAAATATTTTGATAGATATCCAGCTAAATTCAGGGGACCAGTTGGAATGGGGTCCCCTACTCCTCCACCATCTTGCCTTCCTCCCCCAGCATCCCTACTTTCACCTCCAGGATAGTCACTACTTATCAACCGTGTCACACCATGAGCCAATTAAGCCCCCCCTCCCCCTGGGCTGCCCCTGCATTGCGAGCTCAGAGTAAAACCATAAAACAACCTCTGTCCTTGTAGTCTTCTTTTAGTCATTCCTGTGTTCTTTGCAACTGAGCAGAAGGATATCAAAATGATTTTATAAGTATTGTTCTTTTATAGACAGTGAGAAACTATGTTACATCCTCATAGAAATTGTGCTGTTATTTCCGAGCAGAAAGTGAGAGTTAACAGGGTCTGATCCTAGTTTCACCTATATAGGAAATTGGCACCAGTAAATGAAAGGCAGCTAAGGACTGAACACAGTTAATTTAGACAATCTACACTGCAAAGTCAATAATTTATGTTTATGATTCTAGTGAAATTAATGAGGATAGTAAACACTTATAAGCAATAGCTAAAAAGCAAAAACAAATAAATCTTTGGTGCATCACATTCAAAAGTCAAAATGCATGCAGCATGGTAATCAGCCTGAGGCAGGAGCTGGAGAACAAGTCTCTCTCTATTAAATAATACAAAAGATTTTGTTTAGTATCTGCATCCACTATTTGACCATAAGCTCCATGGTGCTGATGATTTTGTCTTATCTACCATTATATTCCCATCCCTAGTACATAAGAGATGTAAAATGGGAAATGAATAAATAGCTACAAGATGAATTAATAAGAATTGGATCTGATATGAAGAAAGCCATTTGATTATAATAGCACCTCAAAGTCAATAAAAAATACAAGTCTATTCCTTTAATTAGGGATTTGGCATGTCAGGGCTCAAACTAAGAACCTGGACGCAGAGAGCAGTAAGTGTGGACTTCTGCTTGTCTGACACCTTGCACTGGGCACTTCTGGGCACATGACACATCAGCAGTGGTCCTGCTGTGGCAACAAGGAACCAGTGACTGGGAACTGAGACCCACAGATCAGAGTGCCAGAGAACACAGGAGTTCTTTAAACTTCTCTGTCTCAAAACTTTTGGACCCTTTTTGTACTAGACGTTTGGATGAAAGTTGTGGTTGAGCTTGAAGGAAAATAGAACAAAGAAAAAAGAAAGAAATGGCAAGGCACAAAACATACTGCTTGGTCTTTTATTTTGGTCTGTGTTTCAACTGTATTCAGCACTGTATTTAGCATTCTTTAAGACAGTGATGTTAGGTATACTCATTTTTATACCATACTGTCCTCAGTCAGCACCCTGAAAAAAGTGAGGGCCTAATCAGTGACTGATGAATGGGGCTGAAGTCTCCACTTGAACAAAATGCAGCTAACTCTCCCCTACTTTTGGCTTAGAGGGTAAATCTTCAGCTTTTTGCAATGAGGTTCTTCTCTCTTCCCAAGTTAAGCCAGAGACCAACATATGTCAGCCACTTCAGTTATTCTGGGAATCCCATCCTCCTCCCCAGTCTTATTAGTGCCCCTTTGACCTCCTTGTTCCTTAAGGTGTAGATGAGCAGATTAAGAGATGGGGTTGCAACAGTGTAGAAAAGGGTGAAGAACTTGCCCTGTTCCTGAGAATAGCGGTTCTTGGGTTGAAGATAAACAGCTGTGACCATGCCATAGAAGAGGGAGACCACAAGAAGGTGAGAAATGCAGGTACTGAATGCCTTCTTCTGCTCTGCAGCTGACTTTATTCTTAGCAAAGCCTTAGCAACAGCCACGTATGAGGAAAGAATGATGACCAGGGGTACCACCAGGAGAATGATACTGGGTATGGACATCTGGATTTCATTGTAGGTGGTGTCTGCACTAGAGGTCTGAATCAGGGCTGGGACTTCACACACAATATCATCCACCCTGCGGTGGGAGCAGAAGGGTAACTGGAGGGTGGCAGGAGACTGGACCAGAGACTGGACCAGGCCAGCCCCCCATGCAAGGATGGCCAGCTGCAGACAGAGTTTGGGGTCCATGATAACAGTATATTGCAGTGGATGACACACTGCCACATAGTGGTCCACAGCCAAGACCACAAGAAGGACACATTCAGTGGCCCCAAGCCACAAGAAGACATAGAGTTGAATGGCACAGCCAATGTAGCTGATGGTCTTTGGACCCCAGAAATTAACTAACATCTGTGGAACGCAGCTGCTGGTGAAACAGAGATCTAGCAGGGAAAGTTTGCAAAGAAAGAAATACATGGGGATGTGGAGTTTAGGATCCTTTGAGGAAACAAGAATTATGACTATATTTCCTGCAATAGTCAAATAATAAAAGATCAGAACCACCCAGAAAAGTATCTTCTCCAAATATGGCTTCTCAGAGAAGCCTAGGAGGATGAAATCACTGTGGCTGTCATTGCAAACTGTGATCATAGCTTCTGGAGCAGTTGCCTCTTTGGAAAATGGTTCAAAAGTAGTTGCTCAAAAGCCTGTGATGGTTCCAATACAGAGGCAGGAAGAGAGGTAGTATGACTTATTTGACTCCTTCCTACTCCAGGATGAGATTCTGCTACCTATAGTTTAGGGAAAAATAAAAGATTCAGTGACCTGTTCTAATCTTTGATACATGTCATTCATTAGCTATTTCTCTTCCTCTTTTGCATCTTCTTCATATTTTACCTGATTAGAATTCATCATTATAAATATTATGTAAAGAATATATTAAACACCTATTAGTGAAAATAATTTTGCTAAATATTAAGAGACCATGTCAACTTTGCTCTCAAATGTTGTACATTTACAACATTTATCACACAGTTTTTAATAAAAATTACTGTTCAACCATATCTTCTTTTGGCCTCTTTCTCTTCATTTTGATCTCTTGTTTCTTTGTATCTTTATATCTCAATTTATCTGAATATCCTCCTCCAATTTTCTTCCCCCTCCTATCTTTCAATCTCCTTCTTCTTCTTCCTCTTTCCTTCCCACCTTCTCTTGATTTCTGAGCTTGAATTTTTCCTCAGCTACTTTATGCTATGTAATCTTAGGAAAATTATTTAAACTTTTTGGTTTTACCTTTGTTCTTTCCTTAGATTTTCTATTTGGAAAATAGAGGACAATCATAGAAACTACCTATGGGTGTTGAAGGAATTAAATGTGAAAACACAAGGAAAACACTTAGAGAGAAAGAGAGAGAGAGAGATCCTAGCCCATGTTAACTGTGTGATGTATGTTAGCTACAATTATCATCATGATGATGATGACACTATTCAAATGTTTGTTCCAGATGAAAAACATCAAAATAGAGGGCAACATTTTGCAGAGACTATGGTGATATCATTAAGAAAAAAGAAATATTCTATGTCTATATTATCTCCTCTCTAAAAGAATTGAAAAATAATCATACCCACTTTCCCACCATTATAACTTATCCATCTTTATATTCCAGTGCAGACATATCTGTATTTATTGTCCTTTACTTGGCATAAAACCTGATTACAAAACAAGTTTGGGAAATGCACTATCTTTTAGTCATTTATGTAGTAGATCAAAAGGGATTTAGGAAATACTTGTCTCACTCCATCACTGGCCTGTTGTCTTAACACACTAGAGGGCTGATGGCTCCTTTTCCTTCTTCACCTTCTGTTCTTTCCTTGCTCACGTTCTTGCTTCTCTGCTCCCACCAACTGTCTTATCCATGTGGTGAGACAGTCTGTCCTCTTGTTAAGGCTGTTTATATGGTACTTTGTAAATTTCCAGTGTTTCCATTCACAATAAACTTTTGCCAAGGAAGTCCCCCAACAAGACTCACCAAAGGAAAATAATCAATGTTAAAACAACAGGTTTTACAAATCTATGCCCCACAGTGATTCCTTTGAGTGCATGTTCACCCAAAAAATTTAAACTCCTAGACTCCCTTCCTTCTCCCAAATCAATATGTTTGATTAAGCCTTACTTATCCCCATATTTAAATAAAAATATTCATTTTCCAAAACATTTTCCAGTTTACCAAATATTAAGGAGTTAAACCAAATCATCAAAATCCTAATGGTGGAATTGCAGATAATATTCCATCTCTTTGTTTTATAGTTAATCCCCCTTTTCCCAAATTATTCCACATACAGTTGAGAAAATGCACCTATAATCAATGGATAGAGAGGAATTTTAATTAGAGATCCACAAATGAAACAGATATTTATGATCAGCAGCAGCACAGCCACACTTGTTTGAGTTCTTATCATGCAACTTTGCCAAATGGATTAGCTTATTTAACCCTCAAAATTTTTTTCAGGTGTTAAAACATGCCTGATTCATCTTCCTATACCTTATCGTATATTTTTCATCACTTTTAAATAGTCCTAATAATGATAAAGTGAACTGGAGAAAATGAAACTCTTGGAAATACAGTTGAAAATGTTTAAAATCCTGTTTAAGAAATAACGTTTGTCAAATGGCCCACTCAAGCAAGGATTCTCAGAAAAATCATGGCATGACCTGATATTTACAAAATAAATAAATAAAGTTTTCACAGCAGTATGTGTTTTTGCTTTCACACAACTTGCTGGAAGTTCCTTCCCAAATATTCTGGACTTACTGTTTCCTATCTGATCCTCTGTAGTGGGTTGTGTCCGACTATATCCACACACTAGAAGTGGACCCATCAGTCAGCAGTCCCCATGCTCATGGGTAGCTCCCAAACACAGTATCGCTCATGTCTCATATCTTTGTTTCACTGCTGTGCATTTTAGAAAATCCATACATCATCTCCCAGTCTCTGTCCTCTTTTCTGTGCCATTGTTCCTTTATTCTCTGTAGAGTTTTTGCAAAGTAAATTTGAAATGTTAGAATTGTGTTTGTAAATCTGAGTTTGATACTTCAGGGGAAGAATAAAGTGTAAAAAAAATAAAGTGTGATGTTTTAAAGAATCTCAGTCTTGCAGATTTTCCCATCTTTGAAACCAAGCTACTTCCTCTTCTATCCTGTGACTTTTATCAACTTCCAGGAACTGCTGGTTTGTGTTCTTTGTCTATTAAGATTGTTCTTTCTTTTCTGGTTTTCTTTCTTCTTCTTCTTCTTCCTTTTTTTTTTTTTTTTTGATAGTAATGTCTATACCTATTTATATCCTTATCTAGGTATCTGTATCTCCATCCATCCATATTATCTCTCTCAGTTCCTTTCTACTTTCTCACCATTGGAGATGAATGTTTTCTCCCTGGATCAACTATTCTCCAAATGTTCACAGGTGGGAGGAGAGAGTCTTAGTTTAACTGTTTACTACACAAAATACAAGAATTCTCTTCATCACTACTTCTGTTGACATTTGTCTTGTTCCCTCAAATATCAATTTTCCCTGTGATTTTTGTCTTAGCTCACCACCTCTGCCTCTCAGAACAGAATCTGGAGGAGTTTTTCCTGAGACCCAGTGCACTGTGATTCCAGTGGTTGCCAGTGCGGAATACAATATTTACATCTCACCTTCTAAGGCAGGTCCCTCTGGTGCCAGTGTAGCTCATTTCCACAGCTCACCTCTGACTTCAGCAGAGCTGCAATGAACAGTTCTATGTGAGCCCAGATTCATCTTACACACCCTGACAGTGAACCACCTCGAGTGTGTTGCATATGTCTTCCCTGTCTACTTCAAGGCTTTATCTGATACAGGGGGAGCCGACCTGGCAATAAACAAGTGTCACCCAGAAACAAGAGATTTAATGACCCTGGGGGAAATCTTCAAACAAGGCAGGATGGTAATTACTGGGAAAATGTTCCAGCAGCCCTTCCTTCAAGTGGAAGCAGACCTCCTGTATGCTTTTCAGGAGGTCCTGGGAGAACTGAGTTCACATTGTGCACAACTTGGCTACTACACCCTTATGTTGGTTTGCTTTCTTATCTCTCTCACTCTGCTTTCCTCACTCATTCTTCTTGAAATTACCTCCTAAATAAAGTGTTTGAACCTAGTTTCTTCTCTCAAGCTCTGTTTTTAGGACACCTGAGCAGAGTTGCAAGAGGAGAAAGCAGACTCTTAGAAGACCTTTCAGGAGAGGCATCCATCACTCACCAGTCAGACTGCAACAAACCTTTCATTAATTTGGGGCAAATGGAATAGTGGTAACTCTTAGCATGCTCTAACATCAGCATCACTAATGAATGGTCTTACCTTGTGTAGCTTGGGAGGAGGTACATGTAGGAGGAGAAGCATTGGGGTATATGGTACATCTAACCCTTGACGGATATGGGGTAGTGATATTAGATTATTATTAACTTTGCTCTTTTCATTGACTGTCTTAGGAGCCTTGAAGAAAAAGAATAGTATACTTCAGTCAACCAATTATCAACTTAGGGCTATGGTTCTCAAACTCCTTGTTACCCAGAGTTCTTGGTTCCATAGGTCTGGGGTGAGGCCCAAGAATTGGCATTTCTAACAGGGTCCCAGGTGATGACAATGTTGCAGGTCCAGGGACACACTTTGAGAATGCTAATGATAGGTTTCATGGAAGCTTCAAAGGAAATTCTTATATGCTACATAGGGAAGACTCTTGAAAATCAAACCCAGGACTTAATTGTTAGGGCCACAAGGCTGCAAGGGAAACAAAATAGTCTCAACAGACATTTTATGCTAAATCCAAGACACAATGGAGAAGGAATCAGACAATGAGACCTGTGGTGTTGAGTATCTGTTCAGTTGCATCTTAAAAACATGAACTTCCAGATTTCTCTGAAACTTCCAAACTGGTGGAGGGAGTCTCCCACATCTTGCTAGAGGAGAGAAGGCTCCACTTGCCTGGAGATATTGTAAAAATGATACAGTTCTTCTCAAAATATCTCACTGCCCTTACTCAGCACCTTGAAAGCCATAACTATGGTCCCTGTTATCAGAGGAAATAGCTTATTCTAAAATCTGTAGGAACTGGCTAACATGTACCATCAGGGACTTTTAGGGGAGAAACAATATAAAGCTGGATGTAGGAAGCTTATAGACATGAGGACATATTCCAAGATTTAGTAATTAAACTGCTGGAAAGGAACTCTGGATCCAGTTCTTTTTTTTTAATTTTATTTTATTATGTTATGTTAGTCACCATACAATACATTATTAGTTTTTGATGTAGGATCCAGTTCTAATAGCACAGGGACATGCTCTCTATCTATCTTCTATCTTTCTATCTATCTATATCTATCTATCTATACCACATCTTCTTTATCCATTCATCTATGGATGCACACTTGGGTTGCTTCAATAATTTGTATAATTTGGCTATTGTAAATAATGCTGCAATGAACATAGAGGTGCATATAACTTATCAAATAAGTGTTTTTGTTTTCTTTGGGTAAATACCCAATAGAAGAATTACTGGATCATATCATAATTCTATTTTTAACTTTTTGAGGAACCTCCATACTGTTTTCTATAGTGGCTGAACCAATATACATTCCCA